TAGAATATGGTGTCTTTATTGTGGCCAATCAACATACTTTGGGAATTGACGTCACTTTACTGCAACCAATCAACATGTTTTAGTTGTTTTAAGGACAACGGTTTAACCGTTTAAGACGATGGTTTAACCTTTTAGTATGATGGTTTAACCTTTTAGTATGATGGTTTAACCCTTTAGTATGATGGTTTAACCTTTTGTATGATGGCTTAACCTTTTAGTATGATGGTTTAACCTTTTAGTATGATGGTTTAACCCTTCAAGATTCATGTTCTGCGTCATAGAAGATTACACAGTCATAGATTCCTTACTTTTCTATCCCAGTCAATACCATTACGCAAATTAGCCAATCAAAACGCTTCATAAATGCGACAACAGATGAATGGACCAATTACAGCGGTTCTGGTAAACAATTTATTTTCTCGGTTGAAGGACAGAACTTGAGTAATTATTAACTACTATCTGGGTGTTTGTCTGTCTATCGGTGTGTCTGTCTATCGGTGTGTCTGTCTATCGGTGTGTCTGTCTATCGGTGTGTCTGTCTATCGGTGTGTCTGTCTATCGGTGTGTCTGTATACCTGTCTGCCTGTTCGTGTATGTGTCTGTTTGTCTGTCTGTCTGTCTGTATCATCCATGTATGAAAAAAAACAAAAAACAACTAAACAAAACAAACTTCTACAGGATAAATGTTGGATAATCCATGAGTAATTTGGGGGTAAGTTGTTTCTCCCTGACTCCCTTCCTCTCTCCCTCTCTCTCCCTGACTCTCCCTTGCTCTCCCTCTCCCTGACCTCCCTTGCTCTCCCTCTCTCCCCTGACCTCCCTTGCTCTCTCCCCTGACTCTCCCCTAGCTCTCCCTCTCCCTGGCCTCCCTTGCCTCCTCTCCTGACCTCCCTTGCTCCCTCTCTCCCTGACTCTCCCTAGCTCTCCTCTCTCTCCCTGACTCTCCTTGCTCTCCCTCCTCTCTCCCTGACTCTCCCTTGCTCTCCTCTCTCCCTGATTCTCCCTTGCTTCCTCCTCCTCCCCTGACTCTCCCTTGCTCTCCTCTCTCTCCTGACCTCCCTTGCTCTCCCTCTCTCCTCCCGACTCTCCTTGCTCTCCCTCTCTCCCTGACTCTCACTTGCTCTTCCTGACTTTCCCTGACTCTACTTGATTCTCCTGACTCTCCTTGCTCTCCCTGTTTCTCCCTGGTTTTCCCTGGCTGTTTCTCCTGGCTCTCCCTGGCTGGCTCTTCCTGGCTCTCCCATCCCGCCTATTACGGGGTCATAACGTGACTCATTACCGCCTGCATTATACGGGTCGCTCACTTTACTGCAACCTGGAATTAATGATTGTGAAAGTGAATAATTATGTGTGTGTGTGTGTGGGTGTGGGTGGGTGGGTGGCAGGGTGGGTGGGTGTTTTCTGAGTATTCCTATTTCGTCTCTTACTTCATCCACTCTTTTTTTATCCTTTTCCCTGTCGTCTTCATTCTCCTCACTCTCCTCCTCTCCTCCTTCTCCTATTCTTCCTCTCCTCCTTCCTCTCCTCCTCTCCTCCTCCTCCTCCGTACATCATGGTCGGTGTTGATATGCAGGAGGCAGGAGGACTGTGTGTGTACTGTGCCTGGGTCCTGAATATTTGTCTTTATAATTGTGTTACTGTTCCTTGTGTGTGTGTGTGTGTGTGTGTGTGTATGTGTGTGTGTGTGTGTGTGTGTGTGTGTGTGTGTGTGTGTGTGTGTATGTGTGTGCGCTTGTGTATGTGTGCGCTATTTCCCAGTTCTACTAAAGGCCTCAAAATGCCTTCCTGTTGCAGTGTTTTGCATGCACGACTGTAACCATGGCAACCTCTCGGGGGGTCGTCGATTACTGCAAGGAGTGCGATTGGTTGTCCATCAATCCTTACGCTTTTGTGCTAGCCAATCGATTAAGGGAACCCAACCCAACCCAACCCAACCTAACCTAACCTAACCTAACCTAACCTAACCTAACTCTAACAGCTAGTCATCCCGCCATATTATATCCTGCAGGTAATCCAATACAACAGCTAATTAATTATCTCGCTAATCGCTCAGGTGTAGATCTAATGACGGAGTTGAATCATGAGGCAGGTGATAATACTCGAGAGGTGTAATTTTATTTTTTATTTTTTTTATTGGGAACCCCTAGATCCTTGTGTAAGGTGAAGGCAGAAGCGTTTACAGCGCCCAACAGGAAGCATGCTAAGTTCATGCCAGACACGGGACCCAGAGCGTGAAAAGTCTACGGTTGCAGCCAGCCACGTTTCACTTACTCGCGCTAAAAAATATTAAATATTATTAAAAATTAAAAATGCTTGCCTTTGTGTCTCATGAGTTAAGGGCGTAGAAGCTGAAGAGTCAAGGGCGTAGAAGACCTGAAGAGTCAGTGGTTTATGGCATCAAGTTATTGGCTCCAACAACTCCTGAATACGAATTCGCAACTTTCGACTTACAACAGGTACCTACTTTACTGCAAGGTGAACAGGGACTAATGGGGGCTAGGAAGTAGGTCCAAACAACTTCCACCGGCCCGGGAATCGAACCCGTGACATCTTGCTTGTGAGGCAAGAGCGATACTGCTTTACCACCGGCCCCCTAAGAGGTGGAATACGCTACCTACACCTGCTAATCTAAGTGCCTTCAATTTCCTAGCATTTGTTTGTCTGTCCATCTGTCTGCCAGTCTATCTGTATATCTGTCTGCCTGGCTATTTCTGTCTATGCTATTTCGTCTGCCAGTCTGCCTGAACGCCTCTCTGCCAGTCTGCCTGATCGTTTGTCTGCCAGTCTGTCTGTATACCTGTCTGCCTGGTTGTCTGTCTGCTATTTTTGTCTGCCTGGTTGTCTGTCTGCTATTCCTGTCTGACTGGCTTCTATGTCTGTCTGCCAATCTGTCTGTCTGTTCTTTGAGAGCAGCAGCTGGCGCCCACCACAGCAGACAGTTCATGGTGGTGAGGGCGCCAGGCGAGGTGTTCTTCAAGACATGAGCTGGAAGAGGCGTGATGTGTGTGGGGTCTTCAAGTACCCATACGTATGATTAAGTTAGGTTAGGTTATCGTAGATTAGTTAGTTTAGTTAGGTTAAGTTAGGTTTGGTTAGCTTTGGTTAGGTTAGGTTATCTCAAAGACCTCCTTATATATACGCCGTTGATGCTTTAATATGTACACTGAATCACATCCAAATATCACTGATAAATAAGAGTTAAAAGGGCTTATAGAGCAATGCCATTTACATAGTAATTGGCGGGTCATTTAAATGCATATGGTACCTGGGCTAATGTAAAATGTCCCTATTGCACCGATGTTGACCAAATCCTTATTAGTGTACTTAAACATTTATAAAGAAAACTATATATCGAGATAGGTAGATAGATAGATAGATAGATAGATAGATAGATAGTTAGATAGAGAGAGAGAGAGAGAGAGAGAGAGAGAGAGAGAGAGAGAGAAGAGACACACACACACACACACACATATTAATATATTATGTCCTATTAAAATTACATATTACCTTCTGCACTAAAAAAAAATATATAAACATTTATGAATTTACAGTTGTTTCATTTTTTATTTTTTTTTTTCGCCATATAACTAGATTTATGCCCAACTATATTTTTTTTTTATTCTATTTTAGAAGATAACAGGAATGGGAGAGAAGATAACAGGAATGGGAGAGAAGATAACAGGAATGGGAGAGAAGATAACAGGAATGGGAGAGAGAAGATAACAGGAATGGTAGAGAAGATAACAGGAATGGGAGAGAAGATAACAGGAATGGGAGAGAAGATAACAGGAATGGTAGAGAAGATAACAGGAATGGGAGAGAAGATAACATGAATGGGAGAGAAGATAAAGGAATGGTAGAGAAGATAACAGGAATGGTAGAGGAGAAGATAACAGGAATGGTAGAGAAGATAACAGGAATGGGAGAGAAGATAACAGGAATGGGAGAGAAGATACAGGAATGGGAGAGAAGATAACAGGAATGGGAGAGAAGATAACAGGAATGGAAGAGAAGATAACAGGAATGGTAGAGAAGATAACAGGAATGGGAGAAGATAACAGGAATGGGAGAGAAGATAACAGGAATGGGAGAGAAGATAACAGGAATGGTAGAGAAGATAACAGGAATGGGAGAGAAGATAACAGGAATGGGAGAGAAGATAACAGAATGGGAGAGAAGATAACAGGAATGGGAGAGAAGATAACAGGAATGGTAGAGAAGATAACAGGAATGGGAGAGAAGATAACAGGAATGGTAGAGAAGATAACAGGAATGGTAGAGAAGATAACAGAATGGGAGAGAAGATAACAGGAATGGGAGAGAAGATAACAGGAATGGGAGAGAAGATAACAGGAATGGGAGAAGATAACAGGAATGGTAGAGAAGATAACAGGAATGGTAGAGAAGATAACAGGAATGGGAGAGAAGATAACAGGAATGGGAGAGAAGATAACAGGAATGGGAGAGAAGATAACAGGAATGGGAGAAGATAACAGGAATGGGAGAGAAGATAACAGGAATGGTAGAGAAGATAACATGAATGGGAGAGAAGATAACAGGAATGGGAGAGAAGATAACAGGAATGGGAGAGAAGATGAGGGAATGGGAGAAAGATAACAGGAATGGGAGAGAAGATAACAGAATGGGAGAGAAGATAACAGGAATGGGAGAGAAGATAACATGAATGGGAGAGAAGATAACAGGAATGGGAGAAGATAACAGGAATGGTAGAGATATGGGAATGGGAGAGAAGATAAAGGAATGGTAGAAGATAACAGGAATGGGAGAGAAGATAACAGAATGGTAGAGATAACAGGAATGGTAGAAGATAACAGGGAATGGGAGAAAGATAACAGGAATGGGAGAGAAGATAACAGGAATGTTAGAAGATAACAGGAATGGGAGAGAAGATGGAATGGGAGAAGATAACAGAATGGGAGAGAAGATAACAGGAATGGGAGAAGATAACAGGAATGGGAGAAGATAACAGGAATGGGAGAGAGAGATAACAGGAATGAGTGAAGAAGATAACAGGAATGGTAGAGAAGATAACGGAATGGGAGAGAAGATAACAGGAATGGGAGAAGATAACAGAATGGTAGAAGATAACATGAATGGGAGAAGATAACAGGAATGGTAGAAGATACATGAATGGGAGAGAAGATAACAGGAATGGGAGAAGATAACAGGAATTAGAAGAAACAGGAATGGGAGAAGATAACAGGAATGGGAGAAGATAACAGGTGGTAGAAGATAACAGGATGGGAGATAACAGAATATTTATACATTTAGTGACCAAGATTTCATAGTTTTGTTTAGCAGGAAATGTTTGAGTGTTCGCTAAGTGTGTTGAGTGTGTTCTTTGCCTCTCCTGCTGAGAACACTTATCCTCGTCTTGTCAACAATATGGGTGCGTGAGTGCCTACCTTCAGTTGTGAGTGCATTCTTTGTTCTATATGTGAGTGTGTGTAGTGTGTGTGTGTGTGTGTGTGTGTGTGTGTGTGTGTGTGTGTGTGTGTGTCCCTCCCAGACTTATAAAATAAACTTAGATGTCACACACCCTTTCCAACACTCTAGTCGAACTGGAATACATTAATTTGCACAGTAAACTCTCTGTTGCAGTAAATGTTGAAAAAGGTGAATAGCAGTACCTTCATTATTGTTGTTGTTGTTTAATTATTATTTTTATATTTGTTATGTATGTGTTTGTGTATTATTATTATTATTATCATTATTTATTTACTATTTCGTCACTATAGCCAACTAAAATAATTAATTACAAATATATCTCAAAGGTAACCACTGGGATAATTGCAAGAGCTGATGCAGTATTTTATATCTGGAAACATTTTGCAACATTGACAATAGTGATATGCAATTAATGCAGAGATATCAAGTCCCGGATGGTCGGGTATTGAAGACTATCGTTCTGTCATTCTCTTTCATTTCATTCATTCGCTGTATGATTTTATGTGTATGTTGTTGTTGTTGCTGTTGTTGTTGCTGTGAGCGTTAGGTTAGGTTAGGTTAGGTTAGGTTAGGTTAGGGTTAGGTAGGGTGACGCTTAAGCTTAGGTTAGGTTGGGTGCAAAGTTATGAGATGAGAGAGATGAGAGAAGGAAGTTTACAAGGCAGTGGTAGAGACGAGAGCTCTTAAGGCGTGTCAGGGAATTCCGTTATAGACGGTCTATAATGAAACCTCTTAACGAACTATACAGAGATGAAAGTCCGTTATTTGGAAAACATTCAC